GATACTACAGTAGTTATCACGTTTATTTTTATTTTTGCAGTATTTTTCTATTTCCCAAGTGTCTCCGAAATTGTATATATTATATTTTACCGTGTCTTGTGTATATATGAGTGGTATACTTTTGTCGTACATAATGGTTTCCTTAATTTCGTTGAAAAATGCCCCAGGAGATACCGTAATTGTTGTGTCTTCTCCCGTTCCTGTTGTGCCTTCAGTTTTTGTTGTTGATAACAATAGCAATAATATCAGCATCTAGAAACATTAATCGTATTTTTATTTGTAATTTCTATTTTTTAATATTTATTATACTATTTTATTTTATATTCTTGTTGTGGATTGTATAATATAAGAGTGCCATGGTGTTTTGCCTAGTTTTCGTTTTTTTTTTTTTGTGTACGCTTGTACTATGTTATACGTACGTCTCTTATCGGTGATCCCACGGTTGTGCGTTTGTTGTGTCTTCTTTTTTATTATTATTATTATAAAAATTCATACTGTTGCTAAATTTGTTGTTGGCGTTCAGGAATCATATGTTTGTAGCTCTTGTTGTTTTTTTTTTTTATTTAGTGTAAATCAGTAAATCTGTTGAGATCAGTATTGTGGTACAGTTCTTCCGAGCGACATCTCGATAATTTCTTTTTTTTTTCTTTGACTCAATATGGACCCGGTAACTAAAACGTATGTTTTAAAAAATGGTGCATATTACCTTTTTTTTTATGTAATAATTTTCGATTAATTACAGTAGGTATTTTTTTATTTAGTAAGAGGCCAGCCCAACATCACGTTAGAGGTCGTGTGGCCGGAGGGGTTTTCTCCGCCAACCAATGACGTTGTAATTGCCGCATTGGTGGAGGAAGATGGTGACCGTTTTGGCTACACTGAAGAAACCGATTCTGATTAGTGTCCGAAATATGTTGTCTTGATAAATAAATCGGTTTTTTTTTTTTTATTTCCTCTTGGGTTTTTCTTTATTTTTTTTTCAGGTTGTAATTTATGTGTTTTAAGAATGTGTTGTAGAATACCAACTCGGCCAAAAGGGGCTAGTAAAAATAAAATTTCAGAAACAAGGAGAAACAATGAAATTGGCGCACAAATACAGAGGCCTTTTGAAATTTTAGGAAAAATTTCGGACCTAAATTACAAAATTGCATTAATACTAAAAGGAATAGAAACGACGGATACTATACACGTAGACAGACTAAAGCCATACTACGAAGAATTAAATTAAATAAATAAATAATAATACTAATAATATATATAAAAAAAAAAAAATGTACTCACCCAATAATATAAAAAATAAAAAACACATTAATTACAACCAGAAAAATAAAAAAAATTAAGAAAAACCCAAGATTAAATAAAAAAAAAAAAACCGATTTATTTATCAAGACAACATATTTCGGACACTTATCAGAATCGGTTTCTTCAGTGTAGCCAAAACGGTCACCATCTTCCTCCACCAATGCGGCAATTACAACGTCATTGGTTGGCGGAGAAAACCCCTCCGGCCACACGACCTCTAACGTGATGTTGGGCTGGCCTCTTACTAAATAAAAAAATACCTACTGTAATTAATCGAAAATTATTACATAAAAAAAAAAGGTTATATGCACCATTTTTTAAAACATACGTTTTAGTTACCGGGTCCATATTGAGTCAAAGAAAAAAAAAAGAAATTATCGAGATGTCGCTCGGAAGAACTGTACCACAATACTGATCTCAACAGATTTACTGATTTACACTAAATAAAAAAAAAAAACAACAAGAGCTACAAACATATGATTCCTGAACGCCAACAACAAATTTAGCAACAGTATGAATTTTTATAATAATAATAATAAAAAAGAAAACACAACAAACGCACAACCGTGGGATCACCGACAAGAGACGTACGTAAACATAGTACAAGCGTACACAAAAAAAAACGAAAACTAGGCAAAACACCATGGCACTCTTATATTATACAAACCACAGCAAGAATATAAAATAAAATAGTATAATAAATATTAAAAAATAGAAATTACAAATAAAAATACGATTAATGTTTCTAGATGCTGATATTATTGCTATTGTTATCAACAACAAAAACTGAAGGCACAACAGGAACGGGAGAAGACACAAAAATTACGGTATCTCCTGGGACATTTTTCAACGAAATTAAGGAAACCATTATGTACGACAAAAGTATACCAATCATATATACACAAGACACGGTAAAAGATAATATAAACAATTTCGGAGACACTTGGGAAATAGAAAAATACTGCAAAAATAAAAATAAACGTGATAACTACTGTAGTATCGTACTACAATCAATTACGCTACTAAAAAATATAAACAAAAACATAAATGAAAACTACATCGATACAATGGAATTCCTAAAGAGCGCTAACACCTTCAATACTAAAGATAGGCCAAAAAGAACAATAAGAACAATCATTGCACAATTTGCATCATGGCTTTGTGCTAAATATTTTTGCCGCATTGTACTGTGGCCGCCCCTTTGCGGGTGTGTGCCGATAATATGTACGAATATACGCGTGCAAAAAGATTTGGCACAAAGCCATGATGCAAAAAGATTCAGTATAGAGCAGAGGGGACCCGCGTATGTCGTCGTCGTCGTCGTCGAAATTATAGAATAATTTGAGCAAGCACCCAGTTCGTTTTTTCGCGCGATGACGTCATAATTGGGTGGCTTCGTTAAAAATATATATTATATCATTAAATCAAAAAAATGGCATATTGCCATGACAAGATGAATGTTTTATATTTTTGTATGTATTGCCAAATTGTCAAAATTTTTGCATACGAGACAATGTGTATAAACGCATATAAAAGAACGTAGAGTACAATGAACGGTCAGTCTACTCTCGACATACTACACAGACCTACCCTGGCTGACTGTGAGTATGTTTGCCGGAGACAACAATTCATGTTCGGAAATCGCTATGGAGAAGACTTGCAGGAAGAGGAATGCGCCGAATACTGCAGCGCAGATTACTGCGGTTCCGACAAAGAAGGTGAAGACGACGTCGACAGCGTTTACCAATATTCCGCTGCTACAAATTCGGACTGCTATGGAGATAGAGAAATTGAGTGTGGACAATCTGTTTCACGTCACACAGCTGTTGACGGATTTCAAACTGAAGGTGGGATCGCAATTTTACATTTCAGTTTGGCACCCGGAACATTTTTCCACACTGATGAACCCAAAGAAATAGACGGCTACGAATCTGGCCCTCGACGAGCTACTGGAGGAATGCAATATGGAGGATACTCCAATGAGAGACAGAATCAAGGCCTTGTTGCTCGTGGCTCGCCAATTTATGAGCACATGCTTGGAAGAATTGTCGATAGAATTTGTGACATCGATTTTCGAGGAAATGATCGATACATCAGCGATGTTATTGTCTCCCGTGGACCTAACGGAGTTGATGAAGTTACTGCAGGGTTACAAAATACGTTGCGACAGTACCCACTAAAGCTCCCAGTCATCGTCACAGCCCATGGCGACCATGTCCATTGCGTCCACGTCTGCCGACAATCAAACTCGGCTTGACGGTGTGTATGGTTGCAATTGCAAGAATCACATGCAATAGCTAAAAAGCATTTGATTGAAGCTAAACACAAATCAAAAGTTCAATATGAAAAAAATGGCAATAACAGAATCTTTGAGGTAAGACAGAAGGTTCTGCTACAAGACAAAACCTCAATCAATAAATTAACTCCAAAATGGTTAGGCACTTTTGAAGTTTTAAAAGTTGACCCTATCAATAAAAACGTAACAATAAAGAAAAAGGCAAAAAGGCAAAAGGTTCACCCAAACCTATTAAAACCATTCTATGAATGATACTAATGATAACCCATCACTGTTTTACAGAATTTGAACATGAAATTGAAAATGAACAATTCAGCAATAATCATTGGGTATCTGCTTGTCACCTCAATAATCGTACAAACAAAGGTGACGGAATGTCAAAATTTTCCACCCACGGATGTAGCCACAATAACATATTTCAACAACACGGAATGACTTTATTACAAATTCCTAAGCAAACTAAAAGTTACAGACTCCGACTGGAAGCTAATAAATTTCCTTAATCTAGAATATTACACAACGAGATACCTAGCGTTATCCAGATTTTATAATACTACATCTCAACTCTGTAGTGAGATACGTCAGAAAATCGAAAATCCAGAAAATACTCAAAGCTGCCGACAGTTTGCGCAAGCAACTGTTCCATACCTCCATGAAATTGATCAAAATCACCAAAATATTTTATAAACTATAGGAAACAATGATCAGTCTAAAAGTAGAACCTGTCGTGGACTTAGCAATGCCGTTATTCGGGTGGTCAACGTACTATTCGGTAATGTTGAGAACATTGATTTCGGATTTATCTTCAACAAAATAACTCAATTAGTTAAAAGTAAAGCAAAAGATATCAATTTATCATCGGAGCAAACTCGAATCATTGAATTGACAACCAATGAACATAATAAGTAATAACACATTAAACCAGATATTAACAAACCAGCAAAAACTTGAACAGAACATGCAGCTACTAAGCGAACAAGCTAAGAAAAACGCAAAGGACATTGATCAAATAAAGATCAGAACAACGCTATTAGAACAGACTCTCTTCTTCGAAGTCCTACTGAATCAATACGCATATTAGACACAATATCTTTTGGCAATAATTGATTCTGCCTTAAATGGGAAATTACACACCAGTGTATTGTACAACCAGCGTTGGTTAACGGAACTTCGTGAAATTAAGGCAAACATCCCAATAGGGACGACTTTCCCACTTGAGATTAAAACAGAATCTATTTCTGATTTCATAAAAATTTCTGAAATAAAAATTTGTCATAAAGGTCAATACCTTATATTTGTAATAAAAATTCCACTAGTACAAACCATTGATTTCAGTGCCTATAAAGTAATTCCGTTACCTATTATATACGACAGCCAGAGATTTATCTTAATTGACCCTAGTATGGAGATTATAGCAACTAGTTATGATACACAAAAGTTTTTCTCGTTGACAAATAAGCAATGGGAAATGTGCAGGGAGGTACAATCATATTATACACTTTGTAAAAATAGTCAACCGGTCCATCATAAATCTAAGTCAAGAATATGTGAAATTTCGCTCATGTTAAAACCACAGAACTTCCCCGATACTTGCAATATAAAACTTGTGACAACAAATGCATCTGTGTGGAACCGACTCCCTCAATCAAATGCTTGGTTATTCTACACACAATCTGATATAATAACAATATACTGCGAAAATCCAGCCAGAACATTTACTTTTGAGATTTATGGTGTAGGTCGATTGACTATTATCACAGCATGTAACATACACACGGATAAAACATTATTACTACCCTCTAATCACATAAGAGCAAACTCTTATGCTGATTTAGTTCCCGGAAATTCTAAATTTAATGTCAAACACTCTTTTACAAAATTGTTAAATTCACTAATACCCCAAAGTATTATCAATGTAAAGATCATAAAAGATCTCACTGAATTCACACACAGCTTACAAGAATTAAATACTTTAGAGAAACTACCCTTAGAACCTCCAAGTTGTATAATGATAGATGTACATATAGTAATATAATATATATTTATTAGTTGCCTCATTGTATTAAATATTTTCATTATATTTAAAGTTAGAAAGAATAATACCAAAATGTACAATCCGTATCTTGCAGAAACCGAGCTCTCAGAAAATAATTGAACATTTAAGTTAATTTATGTAAAGGAAAATAGGGACTATTAAGCCCCCATGTTCCATTTAAGGGTAGGGGTGTTTAAAACCCCTGAATACTGTTAGTAATATTATTCTATAGTTCTTGTAGTATAAATGTAAATTTCTGTTTAATCATATTGTAAACTGATACGTGTGTGACACAGGTGAGCAGGACTCCCTTCTACATACGACTGGTCTAAGGAATCTGCTGAATAAACCCTTTTTGAACGGACGACCAGGTCGTATGCGGGGCTCGCACACATAGCAGGTAGAGTGAGTGTTGGTGTCACAACAGACCATTACAGACCATTTCAGAAAATTTCATATAATTAAACGTTATTACGATTAAATAAAGAATATTATTTTGAGCCAAAGTAATTTAAACTCGTTTTATTTTATTTGTGTGGAATCGCCAAGTGAGCGTCCATAACAAGGGAATTATTTGCGACATTATGTCAACAAAGGGTTAGCGAATTGGGATGAATTTATTCCATATGCAATGTATGTATATAATACAACAGAGCATGAAACGAAAAAAATCCAATCGTATGAACTACTTTATGGATTTCCAGGGAAAATACCTACAGCATTAAAGAAGACACCCGAACCAAATTATAATTATAAAGATTATAATTATGAAATTAAGCAAAAATTTCAACAATCTTATGAAATTGCAAAACAACGTATAGTAAATTCAAAAGAAAATACAAAAGGACGATATAATAATAAAGTTAATCCACTGAGATTAAAAATAAATGACAAAGTTTGGCTTATGGAAAAATAACAAAATAATAAGTTAGCACAGAAGTGGCTAGGACCATATGTAATAGCAAATATAAATAGTTATGAAAATGTAACAATTGTCAGAGAACAAAAATTAGTTAAAGTACATAAAAATCTATTAAAACTATGTAATCAGTTAAATAAGTATAAATATTAAACCAGTGATATCTTGTTATTACAGGATGCTAATCATACAACCAATCATGGCAACAAATTTAACAGAAAATTATCAAATACAGAAAATTGAATCACCATCAGGAATTTTTTTTAGTCATTTGATGAATGTAAAAACAACAAATTCAAAATGGAAATTGTCAGTTTATGTGAACTTAACCACGTATTATGATAATTTTGATCAAATAAAGAAATTTCAAAGAGAAATGGTACAACATTGTTTAAAGATAGCAAAAAACACAGAAATAGTTCCAATATAACACATTGTAATTTGGTCGTATTTATGGGACTAATTTAATACAACGACGACGTCATATATCCATGATATAGAGAAAACGCAAAAACAGATAAATTATGCAGTTAGTAGGAGTGAACGTTACAGAAGAAAGATTGATAAACGGAATTGGTAGATTATCCAAAACATTGTTTGGAATATGTTCAGTTGAAAACTATGAATTTTTTTATAAGAAAATAAACGAAATAAATGAAAAACAAATTAGGGTAATTCATGATATGCAACAACAAACGCGGAGAGTACAGTCAACAGTACATGATGTGGACGAAGAAATATTGAAAATACAACAAAGCGAAACAGCGATAATAAATAATATAAATAAGTGGCAAAATAAAGCAAACAGAGCCGATAAAAGAATAAATGAAATGGAAGTTAGACAGATAATGAATGAAAAAACTGAGGAGTTAAATATTCTTTTAGCATAACATTCATTTCAAACTCACAATCTGGTAGCAATAATTAACACTGCTCAATTGGGTCATATGCATTCTAGCATTATTTCTGCAACAAATGTCTTAGCAGAGTTACAACAAGTTAGGATACAAATAGATTCAATAGAGACTTTCTCCGAGCAAGTCACAATACAGAATATACTTAAATTGATAAGAATAAGTAGCTTACTAATGATAAGAGTAGCAGATACATTAGTGTTCATAATATCCATTCCGATCGTCCATAACAGAGAATATCGTGTATATAAAGGAATTCCACTACCTATAAAACAGAAAGATTCAGTATATGCGTTAATTCAGCCAACAAACCAATACTTAGCCATATCCTAGGATAACGTATACTCAATATACATAGATAAAATTTTAACACTCTGTGGTATCACCCGTATTAGATAATACGCGGTAAGCCAACTTTATACCTTACCCTCGTACGCTCTAGGCTAATGACTGTCTCTAGAATAAATTCAGATTAGCACTGTTAACCTTTGAGGTACATGAAATTTTGACAGAATGTTTATATTAGCATTTTTTATACACGGTAACATTTTCAAAATGTTTTGATTTATTTTGAACTATTTAGGCACATTTTCATTTTCCATATTTTTTTAGTTTTTTTCTAAAAATATCAATAAAATTTTATTTGTCGTTTAAAAAAGCTTGAAAATTTAATATAAGGCTACTACTATATTGTTACAATATCATTTGAAAAATATTAAAAATCCTAAGTCACAGTTTTTTTGTATACGTGTATACGTATACGCCAAATTTGCTATAGGTGATTTCTCAGGAGTGCTTTGTGGTATAAAGCTCGAGTTACCAAAAAAGGTAGTACTTAAGTCTGACCCTATTTTATTTGGACTATAGATTTCTTCGTATATGGGCTCTTTTTGGGTTGTCTCGTTAGGGTCTAGGTTTATTAGATTACTATAATTTTTGTCAGAGGTTTGCTCTAAAATATTTTGATATAATGTATTACTAGTGTCTAAAATTTTGTCTAGCCGAGTTATTAATTTATTTGCGTTATTTCTTAAATCGTTAGTTATATTTAAAGGTCGTTAGTAATTGATCTATTTTTAGTACTATAACTTGTTTCTGGGCTTGAATCGCTTAAGTTACTTTGTATAAGTAAATCTTTAATGTCGATTTTATCTTTTATTGAATTTTTTTGAATTTCGTGTTTTTGTGATTCGCTTAAGGTTTCTTCAATGTCGTCTAATGCTATGATCCCTTTGTAATATTTTGACAACTTAGCTCTTAGATTATCTACGGTTCCTACGCTTTTTAATTGTTTAAATTTGCATAGGCGAATAAGTTCTGATTTTTTATGTGAATATATATCTGTTAATTTAGTAATTTGTCATTCATATATACATCATTTCAATAGTAAATTGTCATTCATATCACATTAAGATTTAATTGAATTTATGAGTTTGTTTAAAGAAATTTATTTTTAATGAAGGTGGTTGATTTGTATTAATATATATTTTATACTTAGCACTAACTACTCAATTTTTGAATAATTTAAGAAATAAAATTAAAATATATATTTTTTTTCGAAATAAACTAAATACGATTTTGAAAGACGAAAGAAAATTAAACTAGTAATAACTATTTAAATTATTAAAAAAGCTAATCTATAATCCTACTATTAATACGTAAATATATCAATTAAATTAAAATATTTTTGCTGTTATTTAATATCGAATAAAAATTTTGAAAAGAAAAAGAGAGAGAGAAAAAAAAATATTGGACTAAAAAAAAAAATCCTATTTAAATAGTTTCTTTCAAGAACCTAATCTACTTGTTTAAAACTTAACTTAAAATTTTTGTGGTTATTTAAAATTGAATAAAAGTTTTGAAAAATTATTGAACTAAAATTCTATTTAAATCGTTTAAAAAAAACTAATCTATAATCCTAATATTAATATGTAAGTATATTACCAAACATTGCTCACCTTGGCGTATATGCGCAGACGCATGGTTAGCAAAATTGTACTCACGCGGCACAAAAATGCTGTGTCGGTTGGACAAAAATATCGAGCGCGTATGTTTTACTCACACGCAAAAAAAAAACTAAACTCGCTCCGGGTTTTAAAACGTGCACAATTGTTGTACTTCACTTGTACAAAAACACTTTGAAAAAATAAAAACGTGCCAAGGTTGAGGTACCAGGGCACAAAAATCAAAAAAAAAATGTCTCCGGCCGTGGATAAGAACCGCGTTGGGCGCCACTTTGTCGTATACGCCACGCAAAGGCTTGGCTTATATAACAGGTATAGGTACGTATATTTTTGGTTTCCGATTCCCAAACCGTCAAACAAGTAAGTTATCGACACCTGCAGTATAAGCTTATTTAAGTTCTCCTTTTGGTGACCACGATAACGAGTACTGCACAAAAGGATAATTAAATATGATACAACAGGATTTACACTATACGACTCTAAGGTTACTTTACTCTCGAACAACTGACCGCGATAACGAGTACTATGTTCGAGGGTGAGATATCTTTAACCTAGGCAAGGTATTACCCTTTCTCGACTGACCACGATAGCGAGTACTGGACGAGAAAGTAAGTACTACAATGTCTTGTTACCTTTTTCGATAGTGTTGTACACCACAATTAATGTCCCCGTACGCACACGTGAGAATGTAAAATAGATCACTCTAGAACGGGAGTAAAGAAAACAAGTAACACCTTTTTAAAAAAAATATAATTTGAAATATAATAAAAAATCGATGTTTCCAAAAACAAATAATTAAAAGATAAGAAAAGAGTTGTCGTTCACAACGGCACCTTGCCGCTGAATGAACAGCCCCGCTTCCGTAGTTGCTGTCGCCTTAAGTAGCCATTCATATTTCGTTGAATCGGCATCCTCTTGACGTCTGCTTCGTATATTGTAGCGTTAGTTAATTATTCCCCTTTTCTGGCCAGCACCTTTTGTGCCACTTATACAACATTTACCTATATTTTTTTCTTGTTTAATAGTAAGCCGCAAACCGGCATTGATTTGTAGCTTATCGAGTCTGATTTATTGCGTAGCCTTTACCTTACCAAAAAAATACAGTCCACTTCACCCTTCGATACCAAACAGTGTTTATTGTCCAGTAATGTTGGATCAACAGATCATCCCACAGAACGATGCTGCAAAATATCTAGGAATGCACATTAAACTGGAAACATCACGTTCGACAGAAAAAGTTGCAAATTAAAGATAAATTGAGGAAACTTTATTGGCTAATCGGAAGACACTCTGAACTAGACCTTACAAGCAAACGTCTTTTGTACGTAGCGATAATTAAACCAATATGGACCTATGGAATACAACTGTGGGGTTGTGCCAGTAAGTCCAATATTGAGATTATTCAACGCTGTCAAAACATTGCCCTCCGTACTATTGTCGCAGCGTACCGGTACGACAGAAATGACACTATCCACCGAGACTTGATGATGCCCTCAGTCCAGGACGAGATTACAAAGTTTGCCCGAAAACACGAGATAAGGTTAGATCAACAAACCAATCCAGCAGCAATTCAAATACTTGACAACTCTCAAGACATAATGCGTCTCAAACGCCGAAGACCATATGACTTAGTATAAAATGTTAGACTAAGACCGGGCCTCTCCATTGGGAGTGATAACCCAAACATGTTTTTGTTTATATATATCTACAAAATATTATTCATTAGTATCTTATATTTATGTATACCTCTGAAATGTATTGTTAAAGATCATTGATCGTTATAATAAAAAGCCATCAGGCAGTTAAAAAAAAAAAAAATTTATACTTAATCTGGCTGGATATTCTATATAGTGTCTTACAAGTGTGGCAATGTTTTATAATTTTTTTACTTTTTACCCAGATCAAAATGGCGTTCCTGATTAACCTCAAGCGTCAAGCCATTAACAGCAACAAGTCAGTTGGCGATTTGGCTGTGGGTGCTAGTTACCAAATATTGGCTATGAGCGTGGTGGACACCAAATATGGGAAATCAACAGCGTGCAAGCTGACTGATAGTGCCTCGGAGGGCACTATCAATATATTCTTACCGAGGCATATTCAGATAACCTCCGATGAGGTTAAAAATTATAATGAGGGGCGTGTGCCCCCCATATCTCTTATATATAGGGGAAAAGATAATGCAAGATTTATTATAGACTTCGAATGAAAAAATAAATTATTGTTATGGATTAGTATTATTAAACATAGGAAGTAAGTAAGGATGTAGCAGTATTTGTAAAACATTTAGAATTATGAAATAAAATGATTATTATAAATTAGTGTAAACAGGCACAATCCCGAAAACTGCAAGTAAGCACTTTTATATAGGAGGGATTGTCCTAGATAAGTTTAGATATAAGGAACGTTAAGATGGTAAGACAGGGAGTGGAGAATGGAGAGTGCCATTGTCTGCATATGTTCAGAACGCAATAAACTTTATTAATTGAATATTAAACGTGTGTGTGTTACTTTATTTACTAAATCTACCTACAAACTCTACAAGTACGAGGCTACGGTCAACCGACTTGTAACATTGGTGGCAGCGGATCAAAAGAACCATTAATTCAAACAAGACGCGTTTATTCAATCAAGGTGAGTTAAATTGTTATTGAACCAGTCAAGGTGCATAATTCCAGTCAACTACGGATCATTCCACTCAACTACGGAGCATTTCATTTAACTACAAAGCATTTCCAGTCAACTACGGATCATTCCACTCGACTACAGAGCATTTCATTCAACCACAAAGCATTTTCATTCGACTACAAGACATTCCAGTCAACTACAGAGCATTCCAGTCAACTGCGAAGCATTCCAGTCAATTATAGAGCATTCTAAACAAATTCAGCATTCAACTTTTTCAAAGGCAACATAGGAACAACTTCAATAATGTTAAATTTATTGGTATTGTAAGTTGGTTTTTATATATATTTTAAGCATATCTATAAGTTTCTATCCATATTTTTCTATTTA